CATGGATGGACATTGAGGGTATTACGCAAAGTGAAATAAGTCAGAGGGAGAAGGTCAAATACCGTATGATTTCCTTCATTAAGTAGTAGATAATAAATAAAATAAACAAACACATAGAAACAGAGATTGGATTGGTGGTTACCAGAGGGGGAGGGGAAGGGAGGAGGGCGAAAGGGATAATTCGGCACATGTGTGTGGTGATGCGTTGTAATTAGTATTTGGATGGTGAACATGATGTAATCTACGCAGAAATAGAAGTATAATGATGTACACCTGAAATTTATACAATGTTATAAACCAATGTTACTACAATAAACAACAAAAAAAAGTAAAAAAAAAATAAAATAAAATTGAGGTATTAGAAAGACATCTGCCACATTTTAATTCTAACCATAAATCAGATGTAGTTAATACAAAACCATTATGCATCCCAAGCTGAGTATGCAGTTTTGCTTGCTACTCAAGAAAAACATAGCAAAACTGGAAAACGTCCTGAGAAGAGTAACTGATATCAATAAGGAGACAGGACTCTCATCAGAATGACATAAAACATCTTTTAACGATTGTTTTCGGAAAAGACGAAGATACAGAGGGAGTGCTATTAAAATTATAAAAAAGTGGTATGTACAGGGGCTCACAGAAACCTGTAGTCATAGGACAAATAAAAAAAGCATAATATAACTATAAAGATGGAGTTCTTCCATGAACCACAAAAAATCTGCACTTTGTTACCATAAAGTACCTTAATAGTAGTTTATAGGTTTAAGTCCTAATCCTATAGGATTTATTTTATCCCAAGATAAAGCATAATTCCCAAATTTGAACATGTTCAACAAGGGCTAAAAATTACTGGTTATAAAAATAGTACAGGGATTTTGAGAATCTTAACCTCCCAAGGATATAACCTTTCCCAAAATATCTCCTGATGCCATGTCAAAGACTTATTAGGCTGGACAGATCATTATATTCTCATGAAAGCTAATTATGGCTTCAGGCTTTGAAAACTATGGTCTCAGCAAACTTATTTTCACTAACTTATTACCTTAAGAATATTGTATCTGTTGAAGATTCCACCTGCATGACCTCCATCTCTGTGCTCTCGGACTGTACTCTGCATCTGATGGAAAAATATTTCAAATACATATGTATTAGCTTTTATGTCTTTTCTGATTTGAGGAATATGGTTCTTGACTCATATGATTTTATTTTTGAGAATACAAAACAAGTTTTTAATATTTTTGTTAAGGAATATGAGTTCTATAAGTTCACAAGTACTATTTTCTAGAAATAGCTGTTAGCTGGTACAATGTGAAAACAATATTTAGAGGTGAAAATTATATAATGCAAACTAAAGAAAGAAAAAGAAACAAGCAGATGATAAGTGAGATAAACATACAAAGCTAGCCACTTGAAATACTAACAAAACAAAACAATGATTTATTTGTTCCCATTTGTTTTGCCCTAATAAAGCACAATTTGTATTTCACTGAGAGTTGGAGTTTCTTAAGTTTTAGAACTAAGTCTCACTTAATTTTGTATCTCTGTGCTCAACTCACACATGTAAGGTACGTGCTCTTCAAAGTGTTAAGACTACTCAAAGATTTCAGTGGATCCAAGAGTTTTGTGGAAAGAAAGCTGGAAGAAAAATTTCCTGGATAAATAGCATCCACATGTTCTGGGTCTAGTCTGAGCTACTGGGCTTTGCAACTGCTTTCATGAAGGGAGAGAACAGGAGCATTTTCTTTTAAATGACAGCAATCTCTTCTCCAATAGAATTCTGTGCTATTATTAATTGTAGTGCTGACCCAAGTTACTGGAATTAAGGTTTATTGAGGGAGTGTACCTTAAATGCTGATTTTGAAAGTTTTCTAGGTGGTAAAGAGTTAAGGACAATTAAATACTCCTACTACATGTTCAAGCAGATCCAGAAACCTCCGGGAAATCTAGCTACTGAACCAACATTTATTTAAGGTATATGAACATACCTCTTCCTCCACAGACTGAAACTCTTTGTCATCAGGGGACAGATCTATGAGAATTGTTCCGCTTCCAGAGGTGTTCAGAGTTAAATATGGGTTAAGACCTATCAAATGAAATTTGAAGGTAAAAAAAATTTGCCAAAAAAACTGTCAACATCAACCAAAAACAACCACCTAATTTATCTGATGCTTACTACCAATTTTTAAAAACTTTTTATTTTGCAATAATTTAGATTTACAGGAAGGTTGAGAGAGAGTACAGAGAGTTCCTGTGTACCCTTCATTCAACTTCCCAATGTTACCTTTAGGAACATTAATGTTCCCATTTTATATAACCATAGTACAACAGTCAAAACTTATTAATTACAGACTTGATTTGGATTTCACCAGTTTTTCCCACTAATGTCCTCTTTCTGTTCCAGAATCCAAACCAGAAAACCACATTGCATTTAGACAACTAATTTTTCACCTGACAAGTCATAACAGTTTTGTGGGAATAGTTCAGAGACTCTTTCTATTGTTTACTTTTACTGAGTTTGTCAAACGTTTTCTTCAAATCATTTCCTTTACTAACTATGCAGCCCTTTCAGCATTTAGTCCTATTATTTTTTGTAAATATGAGGAAGAATTATGACAGAAACTTGCACAGCCTCAGATAATTTTAAATAATCCTAGAATGAGAAGTCCATAAAGTGTACTAACTACTGAATGCTTATTCTAACTCATAATTCTTTAATTCAGCAATGAATTTGTCAAATTTTCAGAATGTCAATGGTTAAGATAACCATATATATTTTTGTATCTTTACTCTCACAAAAGCTTTTAAACAGAATCAAACAGAATTTCTAATTTCTTTGGTATACCTGTAACATAACTCTCCTTTAATCTCTACAACAAGATCTCTAAAGCTCCGCTGTTTTCCGAGGTAGAGATCAAATCCTTTTCTGCTGGGTTAATGTGTAGCAGTTTGCCTTTGGAGATTAAGAACACTATTCTAGTTCTGAGTTCTTGTCTGAATAATAGGACTACCACCAACATGCCAACCTCTAATAAAGACTTAAAGGTACAGCTGAATTACAATGAGTGTAAAAGTATGGAGACTATACAGAGTAGGGTATTTTACAGAATAAAGACAACAATATAAAGACTGTGACAAATGCTTGACTAGGGCATCTTTAGACCACCTAAAGAAAACATTTATCAGTGCTCAAACATCAGGACAAGTAATCTATTGACTTGGCACACTGAATGATACCTAAGGCTGTCAAGTCAGCAAGATGAGACTTTCAGAAGATTGCCACCTGTTCTACTTTGCAAATTAGGATATATAGGTATAGAATCCTAGCTTTAAATGAAGATGAAGAAGGTGGTAACCTTATGTAGGAAAGTGACCCTGATGTGCTAGATCAGACACAGTCATTCTATGTCATGACCACATTTCTCCTCCATGTAGAAATGAATGTTCCTACCCAACTATAGCTGGATGTATCAGAATGACTACAGGACCAGAGGTGGCATGGAAGTACGTACCTCTGCCACTTGGAGAACAGTGTATCTGTTTTCGTCACTGCTTCCCAGGCCTTTCAACTGGGTCTTAACAACTGTATGCCCGACACTATGATGTGTTTAATGTATAAATACTGTCTGCTTTCCTTTTTAACATGCCTTTTTCCTAAATGACCCTTGTTATCCCAGTGCTCCACTGTAACTGCCACCCTACCAGATTGGTATTATTCTAGTAGTCGCAATAGCAGTCCACAACTGAGAGTTCTAGTTCCTCTTTTTGTTGCTGTTTATATTGCATACTAACATTCCAGGGAGCCATGGGTTTTCCCTCTTCTTTATCTTATAAAATTTTGTCATCTGTACTAGAAATATCCGAGGCTATCTCACATTTTAAACATTTTGCCCTAGTCCCTACCAATTTAAAGCATTCCTTAGCTTGAATCACCTAATTTTTAGAGATGTACTTTTTTCTTCTTCAAGAGATGGGCCCCATCGTGGCTAGCATACATTCTTCCCTGAAAATCCCCTCATTTTTGCTAGTGGAGGTTTATCTTCAATCCTAGTTGTATAGCCAGGACTTCAATTATAGGATGCTTCTGACCCCAAGGTAAATCACTCCCTCAGTTTAACAGTAAAGTTAAAATGTGGTTTTTGACACTTAAAACAATTCATCTTTTTATAGCCAGGACCTGGTACAAAGGAAGTGTTAACATGTGCTGCACAAATGCAATTTGCATATCAACCTTCAGGAGAAATAAAAATACTATTCAACTTTGTTTTGTTAAATGTCCTCAGCTGCAACATTGTTACCCAGTATTTTTACTGCAAGTGTTTCGAATTTAACTATTTACAACAAGAGAGATTTATAACATTAATTTATGGCCAGGCCTGAACATCTAGTCATCACCTATTACATTACCACTAAGATAAGAAATATCCAAGTTTCAGATTTTCTAGAATCATAAAATTTTAGAGCTAGAATGACTTCAGAAATAACTGAATAGAAATAACAGAAATAATGTCAGAGCTAAAACAATCCCCAAATTTCTGAATGGCCCAGAAATTTTATTTAGGTTCACACACAGTTAACAGCAGCTCAGGAAGCTTAACAGTAGCAGAGTTAAGACTTGATCCCAGGTTTCCCGAATCCTAATCAGTGCTTTTCCTACTAAATGGACTCTCTCTTACAGATTTTTAAATTGTCATTTAGTAAGTTGAGGACTGCCTTTAGGCAAACTGATAAACTGATGATAGCAATGATTTAAAATGAAATACCTTGTTGTCCAGAGATAAGTCTCTCAACTCCTTTAATTAGTTTGTGTCTATGTCCATAAGCATTGATTCCAATCTCCTTCAGCTCCTTGTGCCCCATCTCAACTAATACATCCAAAGTGATCTTACAAAAAGAGGATGAAACTGTTTAGAAGACTTACTCATTTGGGAGACATTCATTTACTAGTGTTCTCACAATGTACTAGATTCATACATTTACCTCAAATTATTTTGAACAGCTTAGAAATGAAAGCAAACCAGTTATTAAACTGAAAATGAAAAGTTGCAGCTAACTAAACAGAAAGCTGAGTCATGAACTACCAAAAATATCATTATTTTCATTTAGCATAAGAACCCGAGCAGAACTAAACTGCAAAACAAAAATGCATTTTCAAATTAACCACATTAGGTACACTATTTTATCTTTTCCACCATCACTCTACATCCAACCTATTTACACGATGCCTTCAATGGTTCCTCCCGACTCTGGACTATGCTAACTGGTACTTCTGCATCATTGTTCAAACTAACTCTTTTACCTCAAATATATTATTCCTACTTTGTGAAACTGAAGACATTCTTTAAAATCCTATTTTATTTACACATCTTCCATGAAGCTTTCCCTGAATAATCCAGCTTAGAGTAACCTTTTTGTCTTTGAATTTCTAAAACCCATGCCAAAAATTTAACTTTTCATATGTTCTTTGTTATAGCTCCATAACTAGAAAGTAAGTTCCCTAGGGGCACGAGTCTATAGTAACTATATTTTCTGAATCCAAAAAATCAGTAAATGTACTTTAAATTGGGACTGTTGTAGAAAAGCCCAGATGTATAGTTGGTGTATCTATATCCCCTCTCATAGCAGCTAGCAAAGTTTCAGGTTTAGAGTGGGTAGTGACTGACACAACAGAACTGAACAAACAGAGCTCAAGGATAACTTACTTTAAGGACTGAATAAGCAAAATAAGCTAAATTTCTATTCAAGCAAGCTATTTTACTATTACTATATGTGTCAATCTTTATGTGCTAATAAACTAAATGGAAATTCAAGATCAAGCCAAATTAGAAGAAGACTTATTTCCAGTTTTAAAAAAACATCCCCCTCACCCCCCAACAGGCTGAATGGCTCAGGGCATTTCAAGTATGTCCTAATTTTTACTTGAGGATCCATAAAACACTAAACCAAGCAAAACAATCCATGTACTCACCTGTTCTCTCTCAAATATATCCATTAGGTGCTCAAGCCCAAGATTTCTTACAAACTGAGTTATGCTAAAATCTACTCCTGGAACTGGAAAATAAAAAATCCAGAAAAAACAAAATTTCACATCAGAATAATGAATAATGTATATCAACATTATCCAGTAAAGTTTTGTGATATTACTATATATGTAAAGATGTAGCAAAATATTAATAGCTTGGGATACAATACTGAATACAACATCAAAAATTATAAAGAGAAAGCTATAAAATTTCATCATTAGAAGAAACACTTAAGCAATGGGGCACTCAGGTTAAAAAAATTTTATTTTTAACTGTATCTTTAAAATAAAGTTTCCATATAGCTGAAACTAATATAATACGTCAATGACATCTCAAAAAAAAAAAGTTCCCCTATCTGTGAGGCTGTAAGCTACTTCACAAAAAAGTTGATGAAAATAAGTTCCCCAAGGTCGCATAGAGTGAGATAAAGTTTAACAGGTAAAAAGGTAGCGAACAGCTCTATACAGACTGTAGGTACGTGTGTCTCTTTTCTTTTTAAAAAATGATTTTCAAAATTGGGTCTTTTCTGGATTGTTTAAGATGTGAAACCATAAAACTCCTAGAAGAAAACAGGCGGTACACTCCTTGACACTGGTCTTAGCAGTATCTTTTTGAATACCATGTCTCCTCAGGCAAGGAAAACAAAAGAAAAACAAATGGTACTACATCAAACTAAAAAACTTCTGCACGGCAAAGGAAACCATCAACAAAACGAAAAGACAACCTAACGACTGGGAGAAGATATTTACAAATCATAAATCCGATAAGAGGTTAACATTCAAAATATATAAATAACTCATACAACTTAGGAAAAAAACCAAAAACCCGATTAAAAACTGGGCAGACCATCTAAACAGACATTTTTCCCAAGAAGATATACAGATGGCCAATAGGCACACAAAAAGATGTTCAACATCACTAATTAGTAGGAAAATGCAAATCAAAACCACAATGAGATAGCACCTCACACCTGTCAGAATGGTTATTATTAAAAAGACAAGAAATAACAAGTGTTAGAGATAACGTGGAGAAAAGGGAACCCTTGTACACTGCTGGTGGGAATATAAATTGGTGCAGCCACTATGGAAAACAGTAGGAAGAGTCCTCAAAAAATTAAAAATAGAAGTACCATACGATCTAGCTATTCCACTTCTGGTTATTTATCCAAAGAACAGAAAAACACTAATTCAAAAAGATATATGCACTCCTGTGTTTACTGCAGCATTATTCACAATAGCCAAGACCTGGAAACAACCTAAGTGCCCACTGATGGGTGAATGGATAAAGATGTTGGGGATATGCATACATATATGTACATACATACACACACACACACACACAACGGAATACTACTCAGCCATAAAAAGGTGATATCTTGCCATTTGCAACAACATAGATGGAACTTGAGGGTATTATGTTAAGTGAAATAAATCAGAAGGAGAAAGACAAATACCATATGATTTCACTCATATGCGGAACATAAACACATAGATACAGAGAACAGACTGGTGGTTACCGGGGGGAAGCATGTGTTGGGGGAGGGTGAAAGAGGTGAAGTGGCACATGTGTACAGTGATGGATGGCAACTAGACTTTTGGTGGGGAACATGATGTAGTCTATACAGAAGGTGAAATATAGGTACACCTGAAATTCATACAATGTTATAAATCAACGTTACCTCAATAAAAAAAGAGCTAACGCAAATAAAGACTACGTATATTAAAAGAAAAAAGACAGACAAGTGTTGGCGAGGATGTGGAGAAACTGGAACCCTAATACACTGCTGGCGGGAATATAAAATAGTGCAGCCACTCTGGAAAACAGTTCTTCAAACTGTTAAACATAGTTACCAGAGGACCCAGCAATTCCACTCCTAGGTATATATATACTCAAGAGAAATGAAAATGTGTCTACACAACAACTGGTACACAAATGTTCATAGTAGCACTATGCCTAATAGCTAAAAAGTGGAAACAATCCAAATGTCCAACAACTAATGAATGGATAAACAAAATGTGATATGTATACCCATACAATGAAATATGATTCAGCCATAAAAAGGAATGAAGCATCGATACATGCTACAACGTGGATGAAACTCCAGCACATTAGGCTAAGTGAAAGAAGCCAATTATAAATATATATTGTATGACTCCATTTATACAAAATGTCCAGAATAGGCAAATTTATAGAGACAGAAAGTAGGTTAGCAGTTTCCTAGGGCTGGGGAATAGAGTGAGGGATGGAGACTGACTGCTAATGGGTACAGTGTTTCTTTCTGGGGTGATGAAAATGTTCTAACCTGAAGATTGTAGTGACAGTTGCACAACTTTGCAAATATACTAGAAAACCATTGAATTGTATACTAAATGGGTAAATTTTATGATGCGGTTTGCATCTTCATAAAGATGTTCAACAAAACAAAACAAAAACCAGAACTGGGTATTCTGACATGGTGTAAAAAGTATTCATAACTCTGTAATAATACACTGGAAGAGGTAAATAAAGGCATAACTACTCATCCAAAAGGACTTCTAAATCTTTCAGAAAGTTTATTTACATCTAAAGAGTAGGTTAGCAGCATAAGACTCATCAAGTTCAACTTGGAAGGAGAAAGTTTCATTAGGAATTCTAATAAATAATGTAAAAGAAACAATAAAAGGCTAAAGCTTTTAGGCTATGTTAATCAATCTGATTACTAATAGTTGTATTTAAGGTTAAAAATGACTTTTTACCATTCTAAATGACAAATATGTGGCTACAATACCAGTTAGAAAGTTATTTGCAGAATGTCTCACCTTCCTTTTTCTCCAAACTGGAAGCACCCTCTGTTCCACTTGAACTAACTACTGAAGACAGTTCAGAAAAACTCCCAGATAAGTTGTCAAGACTGCTGGCTGCAGAAAGGCTTGATGGGCTGGATGCACCTGAAGACAGAGCATCTGCAGTGGCTCCTGGGCTTCTCACACCATTGAGCACTTGAGGTTTATAACATGAAGGCAGAGCAGAAGGGGGCATGGCTGCTGTCAGGAGAGCACTGACATCATCTGCCTAGGGTACATGTCAGAGAGAGATGAAATCTGAGACAAGCAAGTTTTAAAATTCTACTATTCTACCCAATACAACGCATTCAAAAATATGACAAAAACCCAGCAGATTTATACCAGAATTGCTTATTATATAAAAATGATTATTTTAAAAAGTGAAGCAAATAAGTGATATTCAATTAAACTATTAAATATAAAATACAATTAAGAATATCTCTCCCAAGACACATGGAATCACAATAAAACTGTTAAATGTGGCAAAGCATGAAAAAAATCCTAACTTTAGAACCATGATTGAAAACTACTGAAATGAATTATAGAAATATTATAAAAACGTAAGAGCTTTTGACACTATTGCAACTACTCTGAAAGAAGTTAATTCAACCTACACAGAACTTTAGTGAACAGAATGATTGTATTTCTTGGAAAATATTCAGCAATATATTTGTTCCTCAAAATTGAACATGGGTGGGGGGAACAAAGATAATTATTGTAATCAAATCTGCTAGAATAGAAAAAAAATCTCCAAATTTATTGGTACATTAATTTATTAGTGACATACACCATTCTTTCACAATGCTCAATTAAGACACTAAGTAATTAACATTCAGCAAGAAGTAAATCAGGACTTGTTTTCAGGGTTAGTCATTCATACTATTGCAATCCTCACCTTTTTCTTCCCTTGAGTCTGAGGACTCCCATGGCACTCAGTTTGTATATAACTTTTTTTTATAATATTAGCACCATTTATTACGTGCTTTTTACGTGCCCGATACCATGCCAAGAACTTTAAGTACATTACCTCATTTAATTCTCATACTAACCAGATATATTTTATCCCCATTTATACATGAGGTAACTGAGGCTGAGAGGTTAGGCAGCTTGCAAGACTGTACAACTGTAAGTGGTAGAACTGGAATTCTAAGGCAGGTCTGTTTGACTCTAAAGCCCACGCATGTTCTCTAGAGCACTCTGTCTCACTGTCACTTAATTATGTCTGGTAGACTAACATATGGGCGGACTGAATTAGAAAAGTTCACTTCTAAGGCAGTTTGGAACTGGAAAGACATTTCCCTGAAGAAATAATGTTGCAAATATGGTTGGCGTGTCAGCCTGCTAAGAAAAATCTATTGAATCCCCACTGTGGCTGAACTAAATCAGCTTCTCAATGTAACTTGGAACAGTGGAATCTCTCTCAGTAGAAAGTCTGTAGAAGAGACTCTCCTTCCTTCCCACCTCAAGAATTTCTTCTCCTTTTCCCTTCACTGCTCTGGTCATGTCCTCAGTGGAAGAGGCAAGAGAGGTACCTGCGTCACAGTAGCCAAAGCAGAGGTAGAGGCTACAATGGATACTCCTACAGAGTTTCCTCAGGAGAGGAAGGAAAAAAGGACTTCCACAGAAAACTGGAGGAACACGCTTGTTTCATGAACAGTTCTGGTGGGGTAAGCAATAAGAACTTTGGGATGAGGCAGTGTGGGAGGGGAGGGAATCTCCACTAGAAGCAGGCTTTTTGGCTGCACACTGAGGGCAATGCTCCCAGCTGCGGAAGTTCATAGACTCATGGCTTGTACTACCTTGCACAGCATGCACTATAACAGCCTTCACTGAGGGCCTGTGCCTGTTTTGTTTGCTGACTAATGTAAGCAGCTACAGCTTGTATTTCTTTCTCCCGTTTCCAAAGGTACGCAGCTGACTGACAATTCTATTATTTACTTACTATATTTTAATACCAAAGAGGTCCTAAATTTAAGTTGGGCTAAAAACCAGATTTTGCCACATTCACCATGAAGACATTTTATACATAGCAAGTAAATTTTAAAAAGTCACGAAAGTATTGTGATTTTTCAAAGAGCCCATCACTTACTGAAACTAAATCTAAAGGTGTTTGTCCTTCCTGATTTTTAAGAGTAGGATCAGCTCCATGGGCCAATAATAAAGCACAAAGCTGTGTTCGTCCCTTTTGGGCTGCTTCATGCAAAGGTGTGAAAGCCCATTTGTCCGTGGCATTGACACATGCATTATACTTTATGAGTAAAGCTGCTACATCTACATGCTGTAAAAGAAAACACTCCTGTTACAGTCTGAAATATTATTTTATCACCCTTTATTTATTTTTAAAGATTTTATTTATTTATTTTACTTCCCCCCAAAGCCCCAGTAGATAGTTGTATGTCATAGCTGCACATCCTTCTAGTTGCTGTATATGGGACGCGGCCTCAGCATGGCTGGAGAAGCGGTGTGTCGGTGCGCGCCCAGGATCCGAACCTGGGCCGCCAGCAGCGGAGCGCGCGCACTTAACTGCTAAGCCATGGGGCCGGCCCTCACCCTTTAGTTCTTAACAAGAAACTAGGTACATATCTATTTTTCCATATTTTCAAACTTACTCTAGAAATGAAAAGAAAAACCATGTTTCTCCCCAACATCATAATTTATGGGTAGTTGATTAAAAATTATAGTAGACATTTCAATAACTTGAGAAACCATCTAGAAAACGATTAAGAATTCTACACAAAAGATAACTAAACTAATAGGACTTGAACAATTTCTCATTTATTCAAGTGTTACAACTGCTGAACATCAATTTATAAACCTTAGCAGCCTTCCTCAATTATTCAAACTATACTTTTCAAGATAGTCAGTACTGATTGTAACATTCAAGGCTATTATAAGACAGGAACAAAGCATCTGATCTCTACAGATTCCTATGAATATCAATGGATTTTCTGGGCACCAAAAAATAAACAAAAGCACCAACATCCCACTGAAAATAAGAGATGGGTGCTACGGAAGTTAATAAAACAAAAGATAAAGTGTGTTGCATGTCACACGGCAAGCTTACAATAAATTCAAAATTGAAACTTGAAAGTTATTTAACCTCTTTAGCTCTCATATTTACTTTTCTGTAAAATGAGAAAAGTCAAACTAAATTCCCTTTGGACTGCAACACTGATTTTCACTTTGGAAATTTCAGAGATTTTTAAAGGTAACATGAAAGAACTCACCCCATAAGATGCTGCATTATGTAAAGGAATAAGTCCTCCTTTGTCTTGGGCATTCACATCAGCTCCATGTTGTAACAAATACTCTGCAACTTCTAAATTATTATAACCAGCTAATTTAGAAAAAAAGCAAAATTACTTTCACTTGTTAGTATAAAAAACAGCTAAATATATGTATATGTATTTATCTATATATACACATTATTATATGTATACATACATGTATATATGTAAATATACACATTATATCTATATATACATATTATAGACATTATTTACAAGATAAAAAGAGATTTTACACAAATCTGAAATTCTCCATTGGAGTCTATTAAGAATTTATCTATGGAAAAAACTGCCCACTGGCCTCAAGTTAGAAGCTTTCAGTGATGACATCTACTTATTTTAGAGACTCTCAAAGTTATATTAATTGATTTGCTTCTATCTTTTTTTTTTAAACCTTACCAAAGTCCCTGCCTTCACGGTTGTTGTATATACCACTTCCTAAACTCCGGTACATGATCTCAAGGGCCGCAAGTAAAAGGCATCCAATCAGATAAAAGCCAAGTTAGGAACACAAGTGGCTGGCAGAGCAGGAGACAGCACACCAGTGTGGGTCTCAGGGTCCCACCTCCCCAGAAAGCCACAAGGACATGCTTTCTGCCAGAGAGAACTTAGCGGTACACATCTCTACAAATCTGGCAGCAGAACCTATGTGTTTCTAAAGCCATGAAGTAAAACTTAGTATTTTATATATGTATATAACTCCCCAGCTGTCATCTTGGGAATTGTCAGCTACCTTAGTACATACTTCTAAGGTAAAGTATATTTTATTGGACACATAACCATAGATTGAATGCAAATCTGAAACTTAACTTGGCCAACATAAAACTATATATCACTTGAAACTTTAAAACAGTTCAAAATACTCCATTTATTTTTATTGTAGTTTTTTTAGCCTTTTGCTGAAGGAACTAAAAGCAAAAAAATTTAATAAGATCAAGTAAAGAAAAACACAAGTACAAAACTACCATATGTTAACTATTACACTGAATTCAAAAGTCGTTCCAGGTCTCAAGGTATAATATTGCACAAGTGGGCAGAAATATTTTGTGTATAGAACATATTGCCACTTACACAGACAACATAGACTTAAATAGTAATGTTAAATGTCTGGATAAGCTACCATAAAGATACAAAAAGCTATTATAAATAAATATGCACAGCACAATTCAAATCAGAGGCCAGGTCACATCTTGTCTTGCATGGACTAGAAATTCCTGATTGCCAGTGAAAGTAGAAAGGCTTTTTCTCACCATGTTAGCATTTGTGGCCTATCACTTCCAAAATGCTCTAAAAGACACATAGATGGAGTAATTCTTTTCCTTGGACAGTAGGGTCCCAACTTACATGGGGTGAGAATTTAAAGGGTAAAAACCACATGTAACTAAAATTCTCTCTTAAAAACTAGGAACACACTGAGTTACACTATGAGACTGAAATGAACTGAAAAAAGAGACTTCCATCTCCCATATTATACAAAGGGGCAGAAACACCTGCATTACTTTTTTCTCTTTTAAAACCATATGTATTTAGATAAACTTGTATGAGTCAAAAGTGCCTATGATGCATCTCCACTGAAGTATTAGCTGTAGCTCAGCGACTTCAATGGCCCATTCCCTAGCATCTTTAATGCAGCTGAAAAAGCTGTACCGAAACCACAGTTGTATACCTGCACTAAAAACAAAGGTACACTGGGCCAATTTTAGGAGTGAAAACTTAGAATGAATGTTATGTACTCAATTGTGTCCCCCAAAATTCAGATGTTGAAGCCCTAAACACCAGGACCTTAGAATGTGACTATCTGGAGACAGAGCCTTTAAAGAGGTAATTGAGGCAGGGCCAGCCCAGTGGCGCAGTGGTTAAGTTTGCACGCTCTGCTTCGGCGGCCTGGGGTTCACAGGTTTGGATCCCCGGTGCGGACCTACGCACCACTCATGGAGCCATGCTGTGGTGGTGTCCCATGTACAAAACAGAGGAAGATGGGCACAGATGTTAGCCCAGGGCCAATCTTCCTCAGCAAAAAGGGGATGACTGGCAACAGATGTTAGCTTAGGGCCAATATTCCTCACCAAAAAAAAAAAAAAAAAAAACCCCAAAAAACCACACAGAAGTAATTAAGTCAAAATAAGGCTCTTAGGGTAGGTCCTAATCCAACCTGACTGGTGTCCTTATAAAGAGGAGATTAAGACATAGAGACACACCAGGAACGTTATGTACAGAGAAAAGGCATGTGAGGACACAGCCAAAACGTGGCCATCTGCAAGCCAAGGAGAGGGGCATCAGGAGAATTGATTCTGCCAACACCCTGATCTCCGGAACTGTGAGAAAATAAATTTCTGTTGCTTAAGCCACACAGCCTGTGGTTTTGTTAAGGCAGGCCTAGCAAACTAATACAATAACTTTCGCAAGAGATTTATATAACTTCTGAAAGGCTTTTAAGACTTTTTTCCCCTGCTTGGGCTTAACAGCTATCATTGGAAGAATGGAAAGCTTTAGCTTCCCATGAGGAAAGCTGGCTCAAGCGGCATATTTTTCAAGTTTCTGTAGCCAAAACTCACTCACCAAAGATGACTCAAACAATATGGTCCTTCCATAGCACATGGTGACTGGCAGAGGCCCTTTCGACTGTTCTTACTGAATGTAACATACCAGTACTAAAGTGAACACGAAGTAAGGCTGCCCTGAACAAATACACTAGAGTATAATGGCGGTATTAGAAGATATTTGATCTGAATCTTTCAAGTTTACTTACAGCAAAGATTTTAGTCAGGTAGAATGAATCTTAGATGTCGCCAACCTAAATCTATGAAACTTCATTCACTTACCTGCTAAGTGTAAAGGTGTTGAATGTCGGCCTTGGGTATCACGGCAATTTACATTATCAGGTGAAGACAACTTCTTCACTCTGGCTAAACAACCCTTCTTGGCAGCATCTAACAAAGCTGCGTCTCCCCTAAGTAGATCTTGGATATCTGTATCTCCATCTTTAACAAGATCCAAAGGGGTATTTCCATCCCTGTTTTTCTTTGTAGGGTCTGCACCATGCTGGACAAGTGAAAAACAGAAAGGGAGGAATTGGCTTAAGTTTGCCCTTGGTCAATAAAAAATCAATGTAACTATACCAAGGAAAACTATTTTATACTGAGACTCTACCTTAAAGGTTAACATGTTTGTTATTAATGTTTAATTTAATACACAGAAAATTATAATTAAAACACAGAGGCTGTTAAAAATAACCTTTTGTGTATGCTATTTTTAGTTTTCATAAACATTGAAATAAAGTATAAATTTAACTATACTCTTGTTTTTACTGTAAAATATTTACATTGGTACCTGTATTAAAACAGTACTATCAATTTCATTAGTGGTAAATAAATCTGGCTTATAAATTACATAATCCATCAAACATTTTGAGGTTAAAATACGAAATAGGAAAAATAAAGATAATCAGAGGACTATTAAATGATAGTTGACTTTACACAATAACAAACCTAGGCGTAGTAAACATACTTGCAGATTAAAATATAAGTGTTTACAACATTCTGAAATCTAGGTAGAGAATTAGATAACTTTGCTTCCTACCTCCTTATTAGTTTAAATTTATATTAGAGTTATTAGAAATATGATAACCATATTCTATATAATACACCTTGTCCACAGTAAGTACTTTAATATACCTGGAGCAGAAGTTTGCAAATTTCGTATTTTCCTTTTGCTGCAGCTTCATGCAAAGGTGTAAATTTCCATAAGTCAGCTACATTAACTACTGCTCCATGCTTAACAAGAAGTTCTGCAACTTCATAATGTCCATAAGAACATGCGTTGTGCAAAGGTACAAGGCCTCTGAAAAGTTAAATAAGCAATGCAACACAAAGATATGTTTTAATTTAAATAATTACAAATAGCTGATAAATTTCCTGAACTGCATAAGAGGTCATACTGATTATATTTTATAGAACCTATATTTATTGAAAGAAGAAATGGAATTATTTTTTGGGGGCGTCAGGGAGGAAATTTTTAAAATATTTAAGATTGCAGAGAATATAACAAACATTTATATATTCAATATCTAGAATTGAGAATTGTATATTTTCAAAGAAAAACAATTTTAAGATAAACTGGAGGAATTCAAATATTTTCAATGCAAACTAAAAATTTTACTACATTAAAAATCAATATCACATGAATGTTATAATCTCCGTGGCCATTATAAAATTACAAGACATTATGCAAATAAGTCTTTATATAAATGCTAACCATCACAAAATCTTAACTGAAATTAAAAAGGTATATTTACGCCAATCTTTCCTAAAAAGGTCAAAGAGCAGCCATGGCAACAGCTGGTACTTGCCCTTTATCTTTAGCGTGCACATCCGCTCCGTGCTGCAGCAGGTATTCCACCACAGACACCCTATTATAGCCAGCTGCAAAATGGAGTGGGGTAGACTGACGCCCTTCAATGTCTCTGCAGTTGACACTCTGAACAGTACACAATTTCTATGAGAAGGAAAATAGTATACACATGATGCTACATATTCTGACTTATTGTTTTCATTCATTGAGTAGAAATTTCAAGTATCTGCCTTATTTTCTTGTCTCATCAAATCAGTATTCTCAGAAACTCCTTGCTATTTATTCTTCTTATTTCATCTTGTCATTTACTGGGAATCCCTCTGGTCCTCTCATCTATGCCTGAATCATCATCTTTTGCTAAAGCTAGTAGGCAAATTTTATCATTACCACTACTATTATTTACATAAAGGTAATCTAAGTACCAATTACCAGCAATCAAAACTTCCATTTTGTGGCAAACATATGTTGAGGTACACTGGATCATGGGAGCACTGGCCTCACCCGGGGGCTTGTTAAAAACTCAGAATCTCAGACTCTCACCTACTGAATCAGAATCTGCATTTTGACAAGATCTCTAGGTAATCTGTAAGCACATTAAAGTTTGAGAAATAGTGCTCTAGACCAGTGGTTCTGAAATCTTCATGTCCCCTGGGTCCCACCTCCAGATTTCCTAATTCAATGTATCTGGGGTGGGGTCTGAGAATCTGCATTTCTAACAAGCTCCCAGAGGATGCTGATGCTGGTAGTTGAGGAACTACACTTACAGAATTATATCGCACTGTATGGAATGAATCAACTAATAGAATGCTACTGGTTATGTACCATCCTTAAGGAGAATTAAGAAAAGTCACTCAAATAACTTTTTGTGTTTCTTTGGTTCAAATGAGGAAGCATAGCTGAGAAAGGCTGAAAGAGTAACACTGAAAATACTCAAGAGTATTTGTGTGAAATGTATGAACATTTGGAGAAGGCAGCATAGATAAATAAATAAATAAATGGTGCTCAAAAGAATATCAATATTAGTAAAAACCTTTTCCCTTTTTTAAACATCCTACCCTAAAAGTAGGGATAACCTAAGCTTAATTAATAAATCAACCAGCCCTGGTAGTCTAGTGGTTAAGATTCGGAGCTCTCACCACCTTGGCCCTCAGTTTCCAGGTCAGGGAACCACACCACCTGTCTGTCTGTTGGTTGTCATACCATGGTGGCTGTATGTTGCTGTGATGCTGAAAGCTATGCCACCGGTATTTCAAATACCAGCACTGGGTCATCCACGGCGGACAGGTTTCAGCAGAGCTTCCAGACTAGAGAGACTAAGAAGGACCTGGCCACCCACTTCAGCTAGTTGCCTTTAACTCAAGTGACTTGTTTTTCACAAGTCAGTATAGTCAGTAAGAGAAACAAAATCTTCCTTTCCAAATCTTACTAACCTCCCAATTCAGGACAACAGAATGTAAATATAAAAGAAGTCAAACAATAAAACTGCATTATAATATCATTTTTTCTTTGAGAAATGAAATTAAAAAACAAAATCTGAAGGTTTTTGGAGATGATTGTACTATCTACTCAGATAAAGCAGTAGCAATGGATCACATGGACTTTTAAATCAATTTCCAGAAATCTCTCTTTTTAAGAGCACAGTGAATAAATTTCCTCAGAGCTCAAGCAAGTTCAAATGAGACCAACATTTGTATTTCCTCCTCAGAAAATCTAAAATTGACTTTGTGGGGTAGGTCTTAGGTCTGTTCAGGATTGAGAACACCATATAGAAAGACAGTGAAATTTCTTCAAATAGCTACTTCTGCCATGAATCAAATCAATAAATTTCATTTTTTATAAAACTTACTTTCTGTCACTGCCCCCTTAAACAACTGTTTTGAAAGTCTAGAGGCAGGGGGAAGGGGGAACACAACAAAGCTTTTTTCCTCCTACTAGCTTTGGAAATTAAAATAACTTTATCGCATTACTAAAGAATTATTTAATTTATGAAACATGCTGAGTTAATTTTAATTTATATTAGTTGAACTGAAAAGTAGTCTTGCTCTTTCAAAATGTTAGGCTTCTGAGTTATTTACCCAGATATACAGTTTCTGTAGGTAACAGAAACATCTGGTAGTATAGGCATTAAGACATTACATGATTCTACAGTAAAAAGCAAAGCAAAAGTTGAGGAAGGGTTATTCTAGAGAAGACTGCTATAGGAGATGGGCCATGTAAGGAGCTGAAGTTGGCTCTTCTGAGAAAGGAAACAAAATTTCAGCTTAGATGAACTGAAGATTATTAGGAGACAGTGCCTCTGAAGAGTGGCAACGCTGTATTATCACCATATTTAAACACTGGGTCCTCACAGAGGTAGAAGGGACAAAAAAATGAAAAAACCAGAAGAAATGTGTAGACAGAGTGACACACTGTTTAATCTTCTTCCCTTGTTGTTTTATGTGTCATATGTAAACAATGGACAATAATCTGATATACCTTATTCTTTTAAAGGAACAAATAGGTTCTTTAAACAAAATCCATTTCCACACACATGCAGTTTATTTAAATTTGTGACTGTGATGTATTTACTGAGATCCATGTGAAACTAAAAAGCTTCTTTCATTACTCAATGATCCTTATTTGCAAAGAAATAGATTAGCATCACTTACCTTTTAAAACAAGGCACATATAAATAACTAGGCTTTTCATTATTACAGATTCATTAAACATTGTCAAAATAAAACTCCAAAGTTAACAAAAATATAAGATCATATCTTACTTTTACAGTTTCTACATCTCCAGCCTTCGCAGCTTCCAGCAATTGTCTGTCTGCCTCTGAATTACCTAATGGGATACCCTCTAAAAAGAAAGAGTAAAGAGTGATTAACTCTTATTTAGAAGGTGGGAACAAGTTTTAAGGGAGGCATCCTATCTAAAAGTAAAGTTCTTTTACAGTTTGGTAGCTTATGTAGGAAATCTCCATGGTAGTAGGGGAAAAACAGATTTTCTTAAAACTCTTTTTTGAAGCATAATATATATATGAAATGTATGTAAATGGGAATAACTGAAAATGTGATTTAAGCAATATAAAGGAACATGAACTGAGCAACTCACTCAAACTTTCTGGACCTCAGATTTTTTCGGTTCTAAACAGAGAAGTTGGACTAGAAGATATCTAAAGTCATTTTCAGGTCTGAAAGTCCATGTTTTATAGCTCATTTAAAATCTCATACGAAAGGAAGAAAACATGTACCTTGTATCTTAGAACAAAATAAACGCTAGATGGATTCAGGACTAAAGTATAAAAAAATTAAACCTTAAAAATACTAGAAGAAAATGTAGGTGATATTTTTTATCCTGGAGTAGGAAAGTATCTTAGAGTAGTATATCAAAGGCAGAACCAAAATTGATTTGGAAAAATATCTGTCAGGAAATAACATAGCATTAAACAAAGTTACAGTCAAAGAACAAAACAGAAAAAATACTGCTACATCTTAGGAATGTAAATTAAAATGAGATAGTGGGTTTTATTTTTCATCCATTAGTGGGCAAAGAGCAAACAGGGAGCTGCACTGACAATATTTCTATAATTTGCATTTAAAAAAGCATGTATTACTTTTGTAATTCACACACACACATTCGCCCCATGGAAAAGATTAAGAATCAGAACATCTAGTGCTGACAAAGAAAATAGGTCCTGTCATATACTGTTAGTAGAGGATGATTTAACAATTATGTTATCCTTTGACCTGGAAATTCCTTTATGCTAAGAAACTGGCTGGAAAGGTAAGTAACAGCACTTAGCATAAAACTAGCATGTCCATCACCAGGCAACTGAACAGGACTAGTGTTATTACCCCCAAACTGACACTGAAACAAATGCGTGGCATATGAGGAAGTAAAGGAAATCCTGAAAGCAGTCTTGTAGTTAGTCCAGTTTTGGGAGTTCCCAGGAGGTTTTATCAACCTGCCTTCATCTATTCAAGCAGTGTTTTTCTGAAAATGTGGTTTCCAGACTATAGGCATAAGGATCATCAAGGTGACTGTTAAGGATACAAAAGGCTTGATCTGTTACATTTCTTCTCATTTGAGCTTTGCGATGTCAAAGATACTACACTAAATTCTAATAAAATACAGAGATGTAGGCAGACACTGTAAAATTTATGGGACCAGATTTCTAGGCTGAAATGTTTAACCTATGCCAAATGTGTAGATATTTGACCTAAACTGATTTGATTTTAAAATATAATGAATATCACTGTATTCAATAAATATGTTTTAATAAGTCAAATAGTTGGTTACCTTGTTCAAATTCTACATACCTTATGTAGAAAGGATCTAAAAAACAGAGTGAAGAGGCAGGGCCAGTCTTTAGAATATTATTTATCACTATGGTTGCTGCTCTTCTAAGAAACATCTACCTTTCCCAGTTTTCCCTTCTTTAAAAAGAAATAACTATTGTATCTTACTTTTAAAAAATCTTTCCAGATAAAAACTTAAAAGCTAACTATTTACTCAGAGAAATTGGGCAGCAAATGCTACTGGAACAAAATCATGACTAAGACTTAATAATATTTGGGCATTGAGTATGAGCTAAGCAGAAATAACAGCCAAAAATTCTAAAAAATTTTCTTTTTACTACCAACTCCTACATGACGTGAAAAAATTTAAAGGTTAATTAAAAAATTAATTTCACGGAAGCATTTAATACCTTGAAGAAGCTGCTGCACATTTTCATTTCCCATCTGTAAGGCAGTAAAGCCCTGAAGGGATATAATGTTAGGATCACACCCATAGCTCAGGAGCAGGCGGCAGGTTTGCAGATGACCACAATGTGCAGCTCTGTGCAGAGAAGTCTGACCAAGGTTATCCAAAGCATTAACCTTAACAATGGAGAAAAAAATTGAAATTAGCCTGCAGTGCAAAATTTAAAGCATCCAATCATGTATTTAACACTGGCTACGTATTTAAAAAACTCAATTATTTTCTTATTATTAGTGCCAAAGCAAATATTTTTGTTCAAATCTAGAGCATAAATTCACCAATTAATGAAGGTTGACATAGGAAGGAAGGAATCCAACTTTGGATTGAAAGTGTGAAATGTTGAAGAACAGTTGTGTTCAGCATTCAAGTATTCACAGATTCACATTTAGAGCTAGACATTGCCTAAGAAAGTCTAAACCATGTATTTTTATGATCTGAGGTCCAGAAACATGGGGACTAACTTCAAGATAGATAATAGTCAGTAACAAAGCCAGAGACTAAATTAGCATTAAAACACTTATTTCTATTGGCTTAATCTTCTACCTTATTTATCATGTAAAATATAATCTGCATGGATAAAGACACTATGGCATATGCACACAAGGAAATACTTCTCAGAAATAAAAAGGAACGAACTATTGCTATGTGGATGAATCTCCAAAACATTATACTAAGTAGAAAAAGTCTTACACAAAAGAGTATATATTGTATGATTTCATGGACATGAAGGCCTAGAATAGGCAAATCTAATCTATATCAGAAAAAATCAAAACGGTTGTTATATCTAGGGGTGGAGACTACCTTGGATATGGCACTGCCTCTGCCATGAGATGATGTTCTATATCTTGATGAGTTCTGGTTACACAGTTGTATGCATCAGTCAAAGTTCAGTAAAAGTACATTTAAGATTTGTGCATTTCATTGCATGTAAATTTCACATCCAAAGAAAAACTAAACAAATACTGACCTCTAGTTGATGCCTATTTGGAAGTATTTAGGGAGATGTGTATGGTAATTTGCTAATTACTTGGAAATATGTCAAAAAATAAGATATATTGATGGATAGAGGGAGAAATTGATGGATATGTAATAAAAAATATAGTAAAAGGTTAGTGATAGAATCTAGGTGGTGGGTATATAGTTATTCTCTGTAGAATTCTTTCCACTGGGTGGTATTTTTCAAATCTTTCATAGTAAAAAAAAAATCACCTGTAAGACTTCCCCTATCTTAACCCTACTCCCACCCTCCCCACCAGGAAAATAACTGTACAAAACGTAACTGAGAAATTAAATTCTTCAGTAATTAATCCTATGGCGACTAGTGTGTTTTGAGGCACTGTACAATTCATATTCATGGAATCGGAGAATATTTGAAGAGGAGTATAGTAAGACTTTCTCAGTGAACCTAAAACTAGATTATAAACAGCTAGTCTTCAAGTTTACAGAATCTGAAAAATCCATTTTCAATGTGCAGGGCAATTAATCTATTTATTCACATATCAAAACTCACTGAAATGTGAAATATAGCCACTTGAAAACTTTATTTCGGTACCACTCTGTGTTAACAGTAGAGTGACCAACTTGTCCTGGTTTGCCTGGGACTTCCCTGCTTTTAGCACCGAAAGCCCTGTGTTCGCAGAAATCCCTCAGTCCTGGACAAATCTGAACGGATGGTTGGTCACCCTAGTCAAGACTGTTTCACTGAGTTTCACAACTCAAATTTAATATGCATCCAGATACTCTATGAATAATGCACCACCATTACATGGTGCCAGTATGAAAAAAACAATCAACGAAAAGTTATAGAACAGATAGACAAATGAGATATGCCAAGCAGTAAGCAGAAATAAACTTTATTTTTTCAATAATTTACAATAGGAAAGACTGAGATTATACATTATCAAGAATCCCCCCAAATCAAAGAGAAATTAGGACACTGAGAGGCAACACCAAAACAAATTATAGAATTCTAAGTGGTTCCTTGACTGGAAACCCAAGGAATGACAGATCAGAAAACTATTCTGCAAAGTACATTTAGGGAAGAGCCTTAGGGGCAACCCAAGTGGTAAAAGGGTCTCTATTCCTTTCTTCTCCTTTCATGCAGAGCAGCTCCATTCTTTCTGTTAAATAATGTATTCCTACCGAAGATTTTGTTTGAAGAAGGCAAGGATCTGTGGCTAAAAACTATGAAAACTGCTGAATTAGGTGACTGTCATCTCTTCAATCTGGGATGCTATGTGTTTCTTTTACTGAGTAGTATTTTTTAAAGTTCCTGGGTAGGAAATGATGATTTTTAGTCTTGATGAAAACATAATTATTCCTTGAATAAAATGCTTTGTGTACAAATACCAACTAAAGAACAGTAACTTCCCAATATGGGGAGCTATGTTTTTAGTCAAGTTATTTAAATAATTTATTTCCTTCTGTTTCAAGTTCTTTGGCTTAGGCACAGAAATAATAGAGGTACGTAAGAAAGACCGTGGCTGGGGTAAATAACAGTAGTTATCATGGAAACCAAGGAAAAGAAGACACAAGTGAGGAGAAGACTGGAAAAGATGATAGGTCAGAATAGTATGTCTCTGGCTGGGGATATTCTCAAGAGTGTACTGCTAGAAAAAGATCTTAAGGATAACTCGACCAGTAGGGCGTGGTTAAAAGGAATGGAGAAGGAAGGATATATAGGAATAATGTATTTTTGAGTAAACCATAGGCTTTTCTAGCAAAAAAATTAGTACAGAAAAAATGTCTGCAGGACTGTTTTTAATTATAGATTACGAGGAAAAAAGTAATACTTATGAGAGAGTAAACAGTTTAGGAAGTCAGGCATTTCATCTGCTGAACAGAAAACAACTCATTGGATTACCAAAAAGAAGTATACCTTTGCTTCATGTTTCACCACTACTTCAACAACATCATTATGAGCTTTCTCAGATGCCACATGTAGAGGAGTCAAGAATCTTAAAGAGAAAAAGTCAGCCAGACAATGAGTGTATTTTCCAAAAAATAAAACGTCAATAATTTTTAATTATTAAAAGTATACTTACTCTTTAGTCTTTTCATTGATGTTTGCTCCTTTTCTTAGCAACAGCTCACATATTTGCTTTCTTTTGGGATACGGAGATGCGGCAGCACAATGCTAGATAATTTAAATTGCAGCATTAATCAAGGACTATACATAACTGATTTTTATTTAAGAACATTTGTTTCCAATCAAGAACAACCAAGAAGTTATTTCACTTCTTCATTTTATTTCTGACTTAACTTTGCTCTTCAAAGACTTTCTATTGGATAGAATGCACAATGATTACCAAATTCTGACAGGGCCTGAAAATTCTATCTACCAGGGTATCTGTTATTAAATATTCTGATCTTTATAGTTGCCCTACATCTTTGAAAAAGCCGCTACTGATGTGATGAAGAACTCAAATTAATGTGACCAACACTCCTTTCAAAACTGTTTCCATACAACACAGTGTTTATGTTATTCTAATAAAATATCCGAAAGGTTGGGGTTTCTTTACATGAAGAAATAACATAGCATGCATCAGCTCTGGATTCTGCTTGGTAATACGATTGATGGGATAGCTGACAAGCCGAGTAGTATTTATTTCTCTCTCAACGAGTGGCTGCAGCAGAATAAGGAGCCTGGATTATCTGTTGGGCAAAATCAGTGGTAGAAAATAATCACTCTGAGTTGGAGGCTGCAACAACTATATCTATGACTATCAAAGAGGAAGAGAGACAGGAGGTAGAGATTTGCCTGTTATAAACCTAATAAGTATTCATTGTTATGTCCCTAATCTTTGCATCTCAACATTCAGAATGATACTCATATACGACAGGTGTTCACTAAATGTCAGAATGAGTGAATGACTAAATCAATGTATATATATCTTAAAAGTTAAATTTGAAATCTGAGAATTCATGGAATAAAAGTTCTGGATAATTGTTAAGCTAAGTTGCTCTACACATCTAAACACACAGTACACATGAAATTTGTTCTTTGATTTTAACCTGTTTATAAAGCTTATATGATCTTCATGACTTTGCTTCAGATTCGTTCTTTGATGCCGTTGCTGTCACCAAAATCATTCCTTTGCCCTTGATAAACCCAGTTCTAATTGGTGAATATAGCTCCTTGGGTATGTTATGAGTAATCATCCCAGGACATCTATCAGAATAGCACCGAGAATGGAAGTAGTTTATATTCAAGAATTCTTGATCAAGAAGTTATTTCACATCCATTTCAAACTGTACCCCTATTCTTCTGCCCCATCCTGGCACAGGGCCTGTAATCTCTGGAACTTGGAAGACACTGCTCCTGCAACACAACTATCCACCAATACTTAACTCCTAGTATGTTTTAAGGTTAATAACAAAAATAAGTCATTTAATAGCAGAATATTTAGGGGAAAACAACATGTAGTATTAGCTTTTCAGACCAGAAAATTTTCCATGTCAGTTTTTCCAAGTTTCTCTGTTTCTCGGCTGTTATGATTTTAATTTTGAACTAGGATTTCTTATTAGTCTGTAGCTTTGCTACTTTTTTACAAGTTAAGTAGCAGAAAGGTCTAAAATGCTTTATAGATAGGTTTCTATATAAACTTCACAGAATTGACATCATGGCATAAGGAAGAAAATTAACCATACAAGACATTGGGTAAGCAAGGCTACTATGAGAGTTAAATCTTGTCCTAAACACATTAATTTACTTCGGGTCATCTTCCCTCACCCAAAGCTTAGGCACAGAAATAATAGAGGTACGTAAGCAATTCATACAACAGGACTTACTCTGTTCCTTTTAAATTTCTACTTCTCAGGTACCTCTGATTATACCATTCCCTTCCCTATCTTCCATCACTTATCCCTATTGGCTCCTATTCTTTTCTGACTGCTTTTCCACAGACTGTCTGATTTTCATCTACTTTGTTATAGCTCCACAGAGTCGTCATTACCTTTATCAGGGAGATAGCCTCTACTCACACAGATACTTTATTCACACAGTATAGAGGGGATACACGTAGACTTTAGATCTAATTTTGGAAAAAATTACAATACTGGAAGGAAAACCAAGTGGTTTTTATCTTGAAGGCAGATTTTTTTTTTTTCATTACTTTCAGTAGGTTCCAAATTTTCAATCATAAACATTTATAATTTTCTTAATAAAAAAAGCAAATGGGGCCGGCCCCGTGGCTTAGCAGTTAAGCGCGTGCGCCCCGCTGCTGGCGGCCCGGGTTCGGATCCCGGGCGCGCACCGACGCACCGCTTCTCTGGCGATGCTGAGGCCACGTCCCACATACAGCAACTAGAAGAATGTGCAGCTATGACATACAACTATCTACTGGGGCTTTGGGGGAAAAAATAAATAAATAAAA